GCGAAGCAGTGTAATTTACTATCAGAAAAAAGTTCCTATACCCACCCCGAAAACATGTTCGAACAATTTAAAACTACTCAAAGGGAGAACAAGTAAAATGTGGAAACAGCATAACATTTCAATATACACTACATAAACATAAATAAACATACAGAAAAAGAGATGGGAAAAAGAACAGATACTTCTTGGCACTATCCCAGAACCACTGCCTTAGACCTTACACAAATCGTATGCCCCACGAGAAGGGGGGAGAGCACAGCGTCAGCAGAGCGATCCGTTTGGTAATATTGGGAAAGTTTTCGCCGCTTTTGATCAACCTGGGTTTGTCAACTGCTGAACAGAAGATCAAGGACTGAACCTTATGAAACTATACAGTTTCCGACAGGATAAGTCCTCTCCCAGATCGGTGTTCGAATTTTGTATACATTCCTTGAAGTCTTTTCGTAGAAATTGTGTTAAAGTGAGGACCATAGCGTGCATTCTCGGCACCCGATGTTACACTTCTATAGCAAGGGCAAGAACGCGGCTAGAGCCGCGAGGAAGATCTGTAATGCCTAAGTAGGCAATGCTCTAGGAGAACGTACAGTGCGTGAGTGGTTCATGAAGATCAACAGTGTAAATTCGCTCTCAAAAATCGGCAACTCTCAGAGGAGCTATCATAAGTTGAAAGCGACCGTAGCGAAATGTTAATCGGAACCAAGCACCCATCACTATTCGCGAAATAAGAGTAAGACAGTGTTTTAGAATCAACCATCTATGACCATTTGCTGGAACTTGGTTTGATGAAGCGCCTTGAGTTTGAGTTCCTCCCGATTTGAGCGAGCGGTGGGCCCGCTTCCGTGTCCGACTCGTTGTTGGAAAAAGAGCGAGCTGTTCTTGAAGCGCATAAAATCTTCAAAAGATTGTTAGGTCGTGATAAGGAGCAGTAGCCATTGTTGAAGGCACGGTTCACGATAAAAAAGGTTACTGAGTTCTTCCTTTAGGAATAATCAGCACCCCCCATGGATGGTAGAAGGGACCTACTCGCTCCCACAATCTCGGCGCTTAGGGCTTAGTGGAAGCCCCGTTGCTGCCGAGTTCGCTTTCCCGCCCCTCGATCGGTGTCACGTTAGGCGAGTGTCGAGACAATACAGATTGTTATTATTCATTCTAGGACCCACGCACAATTAGCTAATCGTCGAGTGATGAGACGATGTTTTTCTCCCATTCTTTTCTCCTCTGTTTTTCTTTTTGCTGCCGCGATCCCTCATTCAATTTCCTACTCCTGGAGGCTGAAAAAGGTGAGCTACTTTTGCTGTTACTAGGGTTTTTTGTTTATTTATGCTCATAAGTGAATGAATTTTTGCTTACCAATGTCTGCTATTCGTACCAGGACCCACAAGTGCGCAGTGAAACACAATGTTTAGCTCCTCCGGACGCCCCTCATCTTCATTTTTCTTGTTTCATTATCGTCCAGCCTCCTTTTCAACGGTTTTTGGAAGCCTTTTTCACTTTGGAAACACCGATGCACGCAGTTTCTTCTTCTCAGTCGCACTAGTTCCCATCTTGTCTTCCATTTTTCATCATAATCTGGATTACCCAAAATTATCTAGAACTGTGCCATCATGCCTTTCCAGTGGGCCGTCAGAAATCATTCTACAAGTCAAAATCCACGTGCATCAGATTATACTGCGTTGCTGGCGGGATAGAAAGAGAATCGTTCATTGTTGCCGCATAGTCAAACGATCACTTCGAAAAGGTATTTTAATAAGCTTCGCAATTCGAAGGTAGCGATAGACCAGAAATGCCCAGAATAGCAATAGTAAGGACGTTGTCTTCCGAATGATAACTTCAGACCACACGCATGTTTGGCACCTCGTCAAAAACTGCTGAAGAATGGGTGGGATGTCTTATTACACCCTCCAAATAGTCCGGACAGAGGAATATTTGGAGTGCGTGGTAAGAATGGACTTGTTCAGATTTTATGCATAATCTTTGAATGGAAAATCGCTGACTTCGCTGGAGCACTTAAAAAGCGCCTAAGACAGATTTTCGATTCTAGGTGTAGAGCCTTCTATGAAAGAGGGATTATGAAACTGGCAGAAAGATGGAAAACCATTATTGAACACATATATTGTTCGATGAATAGGTTTGTTCTTCTAGACAATTTCACTCAAAGATGACTAAAAAATCGGCTGAAATTTTCCGAACAATCCTACATATTATATGTTTCGTGACAACCGCTGCCCCTATCGGTACGTTTCAACAAATGAAAACCCAGAGGATATCGGCTGTCGCGACGTATCTGTCCACGAACTGATTGACTGAGCCACCTTCTTGACTGAGGATAGAACGACATGGCTGTAGTTTCGAATCGGTTGAATATCTTCCATCTTAGGAAAACCAAGAAACAAACCCTTTGCCATTAGCAACGCCAAATCTTCTCGAGGACTACCCGATGTCATAGTCCTAGAGAAGATTTGGCGTTGAAGATAAGTCTTGCAACATTTCGGACAGGTTTTTGTTTTTATAATTCTTTATTAAACAGAAACTTCTATCTACAATATAATCACCACTATTATCTAAGACACATGCAGATCTTACGGGCAGCTTCTCGATCCCTTTCTTCCAGAATTCCGGTGGCTGCGACGAAAAAAATTGGCCGATTACTTTTCGAGTTCACGACGATCATCAATTTTTTGTTGGTTCTTCAGTGCTCTGAATAGGTGATAGTCAGAAGGCGCTAGGTCCGGTGAGTAGGCCGGATGCGGCAGTATTTCCCATCAGAATCCCACAGTTTCTTGACGCTCTTCGTTGGCCACATGCGGGCGTGCGTTATCATGAAGTAGGAAGATATTGAGTCTTTCCGGGCGTAGCTCTCGCATTACGTCGGCCACTTTTACAGCTGGTTAGCGTAGACTGTGGCTGTCAATGTAGTGCGACTGTCGAGCAGCTCCCAGTAGATCATTACATCGCAGTCCCACCAGCAGCACAATGAAACCTTCTTTTCATGGAGGTCTGCTTTAGGCTCCGTAGGTGACTTCTCCTCTCGTGCAACCCACTGGCGCTTACGTGTGTGGTTCACGTAAAGCACCCAGCTCTCATCTCCGGTCACAATGTCTCGCAATAAGTCCTTTCGATAGGGAAGGGGCAGAAGAGACTCAGCCACGTGCATCCTGTTCGTCCTGTCTGACAGACGTAGTTCATGAGGAACCGACCTGTAGCCAAGCTCGTGGAGATGCTCAATAACTGTCGTATGAGTGCATCCTATTGTTGGTGCCAATTCGCGGCTGGTAGCATTCGGCCGCATCTTAAGGGCGTTGAGTAAACGTTCATCATTCCACTCCCATGGACGACCCCTACGTTGTCTGTCCTTATACAAAATTTCTCCTCCAGCGGAGCGCCTGTACCATCGGGACACCGTCGATTAGTGAACAATGCCCTTCTTAAATACAGCGCAGATGTTAGCCGCAGCGGCTCTCGCAGAGTGTCCCTGCAGGAATGCGGGGTAGACAATAGGTTGGATGATAGCTTGATCCATTATGGAGTCTAATGGCCCAAGACTGTCCACAAAGACCTTATATGTCCATTTTCGAAATCCTTCAGGAACACCCTTCAGTAATTAGGCGCGGAAACATTTGATGAGGGCTTTGGTTTTTTCCGGAGGATCATGTTCAAAGTGTTGCAGAACTTTTCTTTCAACCTAATAGTATCGTCACAATTCAGCACGCGAAGTTCGTTACTCGGGCTCGTAATACGTTTCATTACTACCAAACTCGAGTGAGCAGCCCTGTTCATTGAAAACACTAGGGCATGTTATGTCATATGTCAATCCATTTGAAGAAGACCTTCGATATAGATACCTGAAGCCTTTAACAGCGTGTGAGCTCTTCTCAACACATGAGAATGCTTCGTGGATTCCGCGACGATTTTGAATTCGGGACTTTGCCACCATGCAGTTGAGCCCTTCACCACATGAGGAGAGGGGTCTGGTGGAACGATATCATCCAAGCTTTTCAGTACTGCTTTTGAAAGCATCTTGCGTCATTTGGAAGGACTTGAAAGGGAAGGTCGGCAACCGCTACTTGCATCACCTCGTCTTCGCAGACAACGGTCGTACTTATAACACCGAACGTCGAGCATTGAATGATGGCAGAATTTGACAGCGCTTGTTGAAGGATCAGAATACGACTGAAATTAACGAAGACGATGACCATGAGAAAAGGAATGGTACCTGAACGTTTTTATGTTGTAATATACATTGTATTGTAATTCTATTATATATATGCTAAGTGCGTTTGATGTATTGTCGGTGCGGGTGTCTAGGTGTGTATTTGACCGTATATCGTAACTTCTGTTCACATTTACGTGCGTGTTCACATTTGGAAAAATGCGGGCGGCTGCATGAAAACACTAACGATAGGTGATAGGAAGTGATAACAACTGATAAGTACTGATTTGAAGCCCTAGAAGGCAAGAGACGCAGGGTCCGTTACCTCTCGCTAACGTTGGAGCCTTGGCACTTGAGTAGATCGGGTCTGTGAACTTCTCCCCGATCACGACATCGCGCTTGCCGCCCCTACCACGCATCGCTCGCCGCAGCTGCCGCACCTGCCGAAGATTGGAGCGCGCAATCTTTGAGTCACGCAGTCCTTTAACTGCTGTTCAATTCCTTTACTCCCAAGCCGATCGTGGTCTATCCTTATTAGTTATGACTAATTTTTCGTGTTTTTTTCTTTTTATGTGTGCTCATGCTCAACTATTCGCACTGCCGTTTTCGTTCTGACGTATATAAATTGAAGGGATGATTTGATGTTCGCTCATGATGTGTTTGATGTCAATGTTTGATTTCGAATTGCTTATGCGTGTTTTCTGTGGCATGTATTGCACAGGTAAGAATATTTTTAAAAAAATTCTTCTTAGTGCAGTGAAAATAAAAAAAGGCAAAGTGAAATTTCTTTTTAGTGTTCTTATCAAGAAACACTGTTGCGAGCTTTCAGTTCTTAGTTTATTCTATTAGGGATGATTTCTCGCCGGTTGTGTCGAACTTTGTAGCTGATAGGTTGAAATGCAGTACGAAGTATAATTCTTCGGTTATTAGGTAAGAATTATTCTCTAATTGGTTTTGATTGTTTTTCGTTTTCCTTTTTTTATGTCCGTTATATTTGAATATTAGTTTTGCTCATTTTGTTGTTGCTTTTAATTAATATGAGTTGAAGGAATGCATCGAAGTATCGCTGTTGTTGATGTGTTCGTTGACAAAGTTTGTTTTCGAATTGTTTATGCGCGTTTTCTGTGGCTTGTATTCACAGGTAGGATATCTGGAAGCTTTTTTAATGCAGTCTTAAGTAGCACTTTCCAAGCTTTTATTATCAGTTTATTGTATTAACGATGGTTTCTTGCCAGTTGTCTCCAGTTTTGTAGCTGACTGGTTGAAATGTTATGTGAAGTCTTGCTTCTCGATGATGAGGTAAGAAATCTTTCCTAATTATTTTTTTGATTGTTTTTCGTGTTTCCTTTTTCTTTTTATGTCCGTTATGCTTGAATATATGTTTTCTCATTTTGTTATTCCTTTTATTTAATCTGAATTGAAGGAATGCTCGAAGTATCACTCTTGTCGATGTATTTATTCGTTGACAAGCTTTATTCTAACTTGCTTATCCGTTTTGGCTGGCATGTATTGCACAGGTAAGGATATCTGACCGTTTTTCCTTTATAATGCATAGTCAAGCAGCAGAGTTTCAACTTTAGATCTTAAAGTATTGTGTAAAGCAGAGTTCCTTTCAGGCGGTCGTCTCGAATATCGCAGTGGGTTGGAATTTCGTATCAGGTCTCAATCGTCGATGATAGGGTGGGACTCAGTTTTTGTATGTTTTTTGATTATTGTGTTTACTTATTATTGTTTTAGCGATCCTAATCTTTTTATACAGTGAAATTCCAGCCTCGTTTTATTTTAGGAACTAATTGACAAGGACATTTGGAACGAGGGTGAAGCAGGTGCGGCTCCAATGATTGAGTGGATCGCTTATATTGATATTTTATGTTTACATTGGTGTCAATAAATATTAATTACATTGAAGAGTTCACAGAAGAAACAAATCACCTAAAAATAATCGAAATAGTAATAGATGAATAAAAGGGAACTCTCTTTTGTGTTCTGGGTCCCAATGTTCATTGCTTTTATAGAGCCAGAGAAACACAAGATGCGAACCTATAGTGGTGCAAAGTAACATTTCTGAGCAAGAAGAATAGAGTTTTTCTCCAAAACCCAAAGGGAGAGTAGTGCTGGGATATGTGAAATTCTGTCTCAAAACGAAAGTTTGGATTGGAAGAGGATTGTCCACTAGGATATTGTCACGCCGACAGGGTTAGTGTTTATTTATAAACTTGGAGAAGGATAACGTCTTCGAGGGGCATTCGACTTTCATTCAGAATCGTAGTGGCGTATTGAATGAGTATGTGACGTATGTAGTTAATACTTTGGTGATAGGCCGATGAAAAAGTCAGTGCGTTTATCCTCCCAGAAGAGTCTTGCCAGCAATTGCGCTTTAATTGTCGATGGCCACTTGCGTTAATGATAAGATGTATGCTCCATCATTGATAAAGTGATAAGGACCTCTGCAGCTGTGTTGTACAGCCAACCAGAACGAAAATAGTCCTCTAAATCTAAGTAGAACATCCTCTAACGAGAAGGTCTGGCAAACGGTTGTGGTCAGTGGAATCGGTCATGATCAACTTTTTGGGGTGAACCACTGAATTAATATACACGCGTACAATCCTTACCTTATATAAAGCGCTCGCGTCTGTCTGACTGTCTCTCTATCTGTCTGTCTGTCACGAAATTCGATACCACCTGAGGGAACACCTGGAAAGGTCGTGTCAAGTTTGGAATGGGTTGTGCATAGGGCAAAAACAACAAAGCACACGTGAGCTCAGCGGAGCTCCTCCCCCAGCACGCGCCAGAGTTGGACGGTTCCATGGGCAAGGCCATGGTTCTCGAAGTGGGCGGGGTTGGCACTAAAGTGGGCGGGGTTACATCAAAATTATTGAGCCTCTTAAAATTCATTTTAGAGCGCGGGAAAAAGGTGCCTGGAGGTAGTAAAGTAATGTGGTTCGAAGTCTGAAGTGGGTGGTGTTTGCAAAGAGGGAGGCGGGGCTGAGAGCAAAAATTTTTACAGCTGCCCTTCAAATTAACCCTGACCACATAGGTGTACAACTAGGGGATACCACTGAACTCTTTCAGAGATAAGGCTAAAAATTTTCTAAAAGTTAGTATCCATGGTTCCATACACAGTTCCTTCTACACAAGAGCAAATGCACTACATTAACTTCGGAACTCATGGAATGAATTCTACAATAGTTCCGACCACACAAGTGCATGCCCTTTAGAGACGTGTAAATCCCTACAACTATCCAAAGGGGCTGTACTTCAAAGTTAGAGTTTATGGCCACACACAGCCCAAACCAAAATACTTGTTAAATTTAAGATCAGAAGAGGTTGAAACTATTGCTTGATTAATCCCCGTCGCCCTTGCTGAGCTTCAGCGACGGGGATTAAACCTCTGGAACTCGAGTTCTTCTCCGATTCGTTATATTTACTTACGAGGGAGGGCACTCTTCTTTTACAATCCTAGAAGGCAATGAAGGGGTGGCCGGTTTTGCGGACCTGTAACGATGTTCCCTACATAGCAATAGTGAGCAGCTAGAACCCTACTGCCTACCCTTTTAAAAAGAAAAAAATCGGTGGTCAAATGGATGTTCAGCTCTTCCACTATGACAAATAAATTTGCTCCTGCTCTTGATGGTCCCGAAACTGCTGGGTCGCTACAAACCTTCATCCTCTCTACATTTGTTAGCGATATTTAGCAGTGGTTAGTGTGACCACGAATTTTTTCTCGCTATTGTAATGGTCCCGCTACAAGACTGCATTGCGTCGGTTTCAGAAATAGATGAGGTCGGAATCACGCTCGTAAGGTTCTTCAAGCTCAATATGACTAATGCAAATAAATCAACACAAGTTCAGAACCCCTTGTTTTCCCCAGACGTTTAGCCGCAGACTGAACGTTGACTGCAGAGGCAGCCTCTGCTCATTATATAAGAGGTGTTATGGATATCTTGTCTCCTGGTAGCCCGCAACGGGCGAAGAAAGAAGGGTCGCGAGGGTCGCATCAAAGTTTGATGCTCGAAAGACGATTTTCAGTCAAACGTGGGGATGATTCCCACGAATAGGGTGGTTAGTATTTGAAAAAGATAGGCGACGGTGCTTATGGTGGGTGGCATACCGGACTCCGCCCACAGTGGGCCAGTGGGTGGGCTTCGAGTGGAAATTCATAGGTCCTGTTCCCGTGAACCTACAACGCTCACGTTTGATGGGTGGTGCAGGCGGGGAGGCCATTAGCACGGGAAGGAGGGGAGCCCGGCGTCAGCCGGACGAGCCGATATGTTGTGTATACAGTGCTGCTGGAGTGTTGCCTTGATAAATTACATGCTTCAAAATCAAGTGTTCTACATACCATGCTAATATCCAGCCGAGCTGGACAAACATTTTTATTACACATCAAACACCCTTCCCGAACTGCTTGCCAGTCAGCCCGAATTTTCGTGATCTAGCGAAAGAATTCCACGCTTCTTGTGAGACAAAAAAGGTTGGCCGCTACAGAAGGGTCAGGGAAGAGGTTCAGATGATAAAGGTCACAGCGAAAAGCAGAAACTCATGTGGCTCCGTCCCTTATGGCTAGGGCCTCCAACGCACGCGATAGCGTGCTTAGCCGCCTGGTAAGGTCTAACGGGTGAAGACTCGGGGCGTTAATCATTCCCGTCTGAGAGATGCGCCCCTGCTTTCGACTTCGATTCAGAAACGTGGTGGCATATTGAATGTGTATTGAGCATATACAGTTAATTATGGTGATCGGCTGACGTATAAGTCAACGCGCTTATCCTCCCAGACGAGTTTGGTACCAATTAACCGACCCCCGTGGAGCGGACG